ACTAAACCAACAACTAAGTATATGTACTTAGTTGGCCTTGTTTCTCTACTTCGTCACCTTATTTGGATTACTTGTTTACGGAGCCTGGCTGGGGCAATATACCAAGCAGCGCATTCTTTACGGAGCCTTACTGGGGCGAGATACCACGCAGCACATTATGACTTAGACCTGAAGGGTCATTATCAATATAACGACGATGACGAAGGACACTCAGGTGAGTGCCCCAACTGAGACTTAACTAACTAGAACCTTAGGTTATGATACAAAGAGAAGCTAGGTTGTGACACAACAATTGCCTGTCAGCATGAGTCTAGTCTCAGTTGACTTATTCACAACCATGTCAAACAACAGCGCTACACCTAGGTCCTCTCATGGATCTGAGGAATGTATGCCCACATATGAACAACTGTTTGGAATGGTGAGCCAGCTACAAGAAAGCATCACCACCTTGGAAGAAAGACAATCGGCACAAACAATCAAAGTCTGACCACTGGAACCTTTTGACGGCACTCAATACAAGTTGTGACCTTTCATTACCCAGTTAGACTTGTATGTCTGTGTTAATTGCAGCAAGCTCACATTTGAATCTGACAAAGTCTTGCTCGCAGCAACATATTTAACCAGTCCAGCATTTGATTGGTTTGAACCTATTTTACACAATTTCCAAGAAAAAGATGAAGAACATCACAATGACAATACCACTGAAATCTTCACCAATTACACTGAATTCAAAAAATGACTCCAAGGAACATTCAGAGATATTGATGCCACACAAAACACTGAATGAAAACTATGGCGACTAAAACAAACTGGATCAGTAACCAAACTGGTATCTGAATTTCAACAAATCATCGCACATCTGAATTGGGATGAAGAGATGTACATCGCCAAATTTGAAGAAATGTTGAAACCAGAAATTCAGGAGAAGTTGGTTTGGATGGAACAACCAAGCTCCCTGAATGAGTTGTTTGAACAAGCAGTCAAAATTGACAACACCCTGTATGACCTAAGAGTCAGACAGAAGGAGTCATGATATGGAAACACCTTTAGAGGAAATCCATGAATGAACTGCTACCAATTGAATGATAGATGACCAGCTCAACCACAAAGCCAAGGGTATGAAGATCCCTATGGGCCATGACCAATGGAGCTGGATGCCACGCAGCAAAAACCTTTTGTGTCCTATCAGGAAAGGGAATGAAGGAAGAAAGAGAGGCTTTGCTTTACATGTGGAAGACCAGGTCACATGACAAAAGACTGCCTGCAATCATGAAATATTAGGCCTCAACAGCAGCAACAGAATGCCAGGCCACAGCAACAATGAAATGGAAATAAGCAACTGCATGCTACCCAGGAGAGAGGAGCATACAATGTCACAGGAATAATGAAACCAGAACTCAGAGCAACAAATGAATTGAAATGGCACATGCAAGAGGCTATGGATGAGCATGATGAAAGGCCACTGACACCTAGTGAAAGGATTGAAATGATACCCAACCTGAGCCCATTGAGGAGGTTGATGACTGAACAGATGACTCTCAGTGAGGAAGAGATTGAAGATATTATGAGTTCTAGTGAAGATGACTATTGGCCAAATGAGCAGATGATGGGGTCTGACAGTGGAAGCAACAAAGCCCATGAAAGGATGGATGGGTCTGAAAAAGCCATCAACACAAATGAGCCAGTTCATGTGGAATTACTCAGTGAACTATCTGATGAATATTGGTCAGTTAACAATTCCCTTGATGAAGAGTACAGATCTCAGTTGATTAGCAGTGCCCCAAACACTGAGGAATTCAATGAGATACCAGAGACACCTCCAACAAAGACTCCCACAAATGATGAACAAATTACACAACCTCTGGCAGAGATATATGAGGGATGCACTGAATCCAGCAGGCATGGCCCTACCATGAGCATGGTTAACAATGAAGAATTGATTTGACAACAATGACTTGAAGAAGAAAAGAATGATGAATACCTTGCAGCATACCATATCAATGAAGTTGTGCTTGATATCAAGGATAACCCAAAGAGGTTTACTGCTGAATTGAGACAATTATTTCAGGAGTTAGGTGATTACTGCCCACATCAGAACTTGGAATGCTGGGAACAAGAAGACCAAACATGGGATGAACACCTACAGAAATGCAACCAACATCCATACACCTGCAGATATTGCGAACAACACAACAGCAAACTATGGGGATATTTGTGAGAAGTTACAACCAAGAGACCATGAGGTCCTATTCACAAACTGTGTGAATATGATTGGTGTGATTGTGTGCACTATTGAGGACACCCAAAACATCACCAATTACCTTAGATTGTATGTTACAGTCATGCATGTGGAGACTATTATGATCTGAAAAACATGGCACACTACTTTCCACAGTGACCCCAGAAGAAAAACAACACTTGCCCTTGTTGGGATTGGAACTGCACATGCAGAGGATACCTACTGCACCCAGAGCACTCAACTATGCATTGGACAGCATGCTATGAGGATAGCTGCATAGTGCACTTTGAAATCAAGGACTACTACCCAAACCCACAATGACAATGACAACCAAGATGGTCAGCAAATCTATCAGCAACACAATGAGGATATCATCTGAAGTTTACAACATGAATCCTTAGTCAGCTAGCCAAAGTGATGGTTGACTCAGGAGCCACTGGAAATTACATGGATCCTAGATTCCAGCGACAATTGGGGATCTTAGGAATCAAGAAGGCGCAGCCAGAGCCTATCTCAGGGCTGAATAGTGAGAATTTAGGAAATCACTTGATGCTCAAATTGGGATTTGTCCCTATGGCTGTAGCAGGTCACCAAGAGAGGATCAATTTCAATGTGACACCATTGGGACAATACAATGTGGTGTTGGGGATTCCATGGCTCAGGAATCACAACCCAGAAATTGATTGGAAAACTGGATGAATGAATTTTACAAATTGCGACTGCCCGAATACGACAAAAGGACCAGATCAATGGGAGACTGGGGCCTCACCATGATTTACAGACGGAAGAGCTGGTAGATACATGAAGCAACCATGAGGTGGGTTGATAGGTGAAGACAACACAGGTGACAGAGCAACAGATATTGTGTTAGCAGCCACCAAAGCATCAGAATGACATTGGCTAATGAATTTACCAGGATGGGCACCTGACACAAACGAGAAATATTGCGAATACTCGACCATGGAGGATATACCCAAGAGATCTGAAGATGAGGGATATCACTCAGAATGAATTGATAGTCAGAGCACATCAGATTCAGAGCTAGGCTCATGGGAATGGATCGACCCTAAGGAGTTAGCCATGACGACTCAGGAACAGCAGGTTCCACAGGAATACACCAAGTTTCAGCACTTGTTCAATCAGCCAGAACAACCTGAATTGCCAGCACATGGACCACATGATCATCAAATGCCCCTAATGGAAGGGAAGGAACTGACATGCAAAAAGATATACTCAATGTCAGAAAAAGAATCAGCAGCATTGCAAG